TTGGGGTCTCTGGTGCGCCAGCTGGAGGAGCTCCAGGCCACAGTCCAGAGACTGCATGCCATCAGGGACTGTGAGCAGGAGATAGACTCCTACTGCCAGGCCCTTCTCCCCTGGGAGGCAGAGGGTAGACCACAGTCCCCCTTTCATTCAATATTTCAGGAGCTAGAACTTTTCCTCACCATGTGGAAGACCTGGGCTCAATTCCTGTCGCTCAATTCAAGTGAATCAACATGAAAGGCTGAAAACACTTCACCCCAGAACACCCTGGTGGGTAGGCATGTTTTTGAGACAGGGGAATTTTATTCTTGTCCCTGAGAAATGGGTTTGAATCTTTTTCAGAAGAAGATGGAATTAAAGTGTTTTGGAAGAAACAATCTGAGTCAAATTGTTAGACAGATAAAGGCGACACAAAATAGTACATTCAGGCCTGCTGGTGTACAGAGCTTCATGCACTAGACAGTGAAGCAACAGAAACCTATTGCTGATTCTCAAGACAACAGCACATGGCAGTTCAATGTAATCAGCAAAATAAGTAATGAAATTCTTCAACACAGTGTAGAAAACTAATGTCCCAGTTTAGTGGATCAAAAGAATTGACAAAGGCTACTTCAACAAGACCCCTGGAAACAAAAGAGCTGACACGAAAAATCCCCCTGGTCCCATCCTCCCTAAAACAGAATAAGAATTCAGCCTCCTTTGCTTTCAGATCCAGCATGTCTCCACTGTATATTTTGGGCCCAGTGTCTAATATTTCTTTAGGTGAGAAAAGAGCTGGTTGGATTATAGGAATACAAATGGATTAATTTGGGGTGGATTAGACACACAGCAAAATATGTTTGTCTTGTATTAGCATAACTGTGTCATAAAAATGTAGATTCCAAGACAGAGATTATTTGTGGCATTGCTAATATGTTGTTGCTATAGCAAAAGATGTACACAATATTTACACTGTATTTGACCACATAAAACATGTCGTATACAGACACAATTTTTCATTATATGAAAAAGAGTCAGAGGGCTCTTCATGCTTCCAGTACCAGTGCTCCTGATTTTCCCTTATTTTTTACCTTTAAGAAACAAATGCAGTTTTAAACCATCATTACTGTATTTTGAACAGTTAATATTTTATATCGTGACATTGCTGCTCAGAGGTAACAGGTTTAGTTGATTACTATTTGTTTATAGTGCTGGAGAAACCTGCAATCATAGAGAACATAAAAGGATTGCAATTAGATCTATTGGTTGAGAGCTGCACCTCAGTGACCCACTGTAAAGTGCTTAGCACTATCAAAGAGATAATGCCTACTTGCAGCTGGCACATCTGTACATAATAATATGGGCTACACTGACACAGCCACTAAAGACTGCCACTACCCTCTTTAACTAGAAGCAGAAAACAGATCATGCTTTTAAAGAGTGTATCAACAAAAAACCTACTACATGTCTTCAGAATTAGCACATTCATGTTTATGAGAAGCTTTTCCTTTTTACTACTAGTTCTTCAAAGAATCAAAATAAGGACTTTAAACAAAAGGCCAGGGACACATCTCAAGGTAGCATTAGCTCCACCAATTGCAACCAGTTACAGCAGGGATGCATTTAACCCTCCCCGCCTCCTCAGCTCCTGATCTATTTATTAAACATTTCCCCAAATCAAAGCCACATGCACAAAACAGAATGCAAGTAAGGGGGATATATTTTTGTTATTGACACCAAGATAGGACAACAAGGCCACATCCCCACAAGCAGAAACGTGCAGTTTGCAGCACTTCAAAGTCTTCTGAGGCACCATGAAATGCACACAGCGCACGTGAATCTGTTTGCCACACTGCATAATTGCAGCACAGTGGCAAAATTAAATACCAGGAAGTACCGATATTTAAAAGAAAACACAGGAAAAAAAAGTGGCATGGCACACGTGACTGCAGCATGTGTTGCCAGACACAGAAGCCTGGCTAACCAG